TGAACGGAATCGTTTATAGGAACGCCAGCCGAGCGAGCAGGTCTTACTGTTGGGGACGAGATCATCGCCGTCAATGGCACGGAAATCGAAGGGAAATCGCACGAAGAAGTTGTTTCATACATCCAGGAGGTAATATCTGTTCGCCCACTCTGCTTGAAATGTTTATTTCAATGAGTGAGATTATCTCAGCTCAGGTTATATCCATAGGTACTCGACTTTTCATAACGGCAGACTGGTTACCTTACCATTAGCTTCAAGGTTCTTACCATGAATTCCGTATTCGTAATGATAAATCGGTTGTCTTAACTTCGTTTTTCTTGTTATGAATTTTATATGGGCGGAGCCGATGTCACCGTTACCGTTTTGCCTTCTTTACTGGTGCATCCCTCAAGACGGTGGAGAGGAGGGACGCGCCAATGAGAAAGGCACAACTTTAGGTACCCATCCCTGCAACTGACGTGAGTATACTGGGTCAATCAAGTACATATTTTGCCTATATAAAACTGGAATTGCGATAATATAGGCCTTATATGTAGCTTGATGGGGAGTTCTCGCTTAAAATGGATGGGCAGGTCAACAAAAACCCACATTTTTGACGCTTTCTTTTTTCGTGTTTGAAAAAAAACTGAAGTCACAGAAGCTCTTTTCTGAAGTACGTAGCAGAATGGTTCCTAAAAAGGCTCAGAGCTGGTCCAAATGATTGTCAGATTCTAATTTTGACCTCACTTGGAGGGCTCTTTCAGTTCGACTGAAGCTTACTGAATCAGCTCATTCATGAGTAGGTGTAATGATTCCACAGTCTCATTTGGTTTCGTCGTCACTTGATGGGAGAGGTTCAAGAGCTGGTGTGTGGGTATTGCACGCAGTCGGTATCGACCAATACGGCATGCTCGTCCGCATGCATAGTTACGAAGTTCCTGATCCATGCTCTGGAATCGCTAGATGGGTCTCAAGCAGCTTATGGGGGCAATGTTCCTTGGTTATACAGTTTACAAATCTTAAGACGCTTCTGTCGTTGCAGTACCCAAATCAAGCGAAAAAAGGTGTCGAGAAAGCTCATTGTTGTCACGTACTAAGATTTAGTGCTGAAAATTCCATAATTATTGAGGGAAAATTGAGAGAACTTTTTAGAGACATCGTGTAACACTGATCCATATAGTGCAGAAGACTTGCAAAAACTTACTGAAAAAGAAAACACTTCTCAGCTATTGCACGCTCGACAAAAACCCTAAATCGCGCCCGATTGGCTCAGCGCGATTTTTTTGGAAGCTTTCTAAGCCTTTCAAGATAAACGTTTCATCTTCACACATTCCAACACAGGCTAATGTAAGCCATGTGGAAAGAATAAGTGGGGCGATTATAATTCAGTGTAGTTTCAGCTTACTTTTTTGCTTCCTTTATGGCTTGGCGTCAATAGCTTTCACCGATTTATTCATCTCACCAATTTCAGTGCATTCGAACAAGAATCATTTCACTGAAAGTTCGACGGAAGTCAATGGATATCGCTCAGCGTAAGTCCCTTTGCCTTATTCATGTTTTCATGTTCTCCTGTTTTATGTGAAACACACCCGAGAAGGCAGCTCGAGCTCCTTTTTTGCCAGTGAACAGTAGTGAGCATGAATTAAATTGGACTCATGTTTACTACTGTTGAATCATTTGAATCAGATTGGATTAAATACCAATAGGTTGGAAAGAAAGTCTTGTCACTGTTGTGACTTTTTTCTTTTTTATTTTCTAACTCAACATACAGTGGGAATTAGTCAACAATATACTCGTCATAGTTAGCCACTACAGTGCTCCACCTAATGGACAGGTAAGCATTCCCCCTCTCCCAGAACTGAGGAGGCTGCGAGTAGAGTAAGTCAGCGCCTCTCGACTGATGTCATCAAAGTTGCTGAAAGTTTTCTTAGCTAAGAAAGCCTAAGGAGGCGGAGCAGGTAGCAGTCGTAGGGGACTACGTCAGGAGAATATGATGAGCGGGATCTGGTCTCCCAGCCTTGCTCCTCAATTATTTGGTAGGTCTCCATAGCAGGTATGGGGTCTCGTGTACTACGAACGAGGTTT